CAAATGCAATCTCTGACAATTACTAGCTATGTGATCCTAGTCAAGTTACTTAATCACTATTTACCTCAGTTTCTTCATCTACAAAATGGAGATAATAATAGCATGTACCTCTCAGGGTAGCTGTGAGCATCAAATGAGAAAATATTTACAAAGGGCTTTGAAAATGTTGAAGCACTACAGAAATGCTAGCCAGCTATAGGGCAAAATGCCACTTCTATTAAGGTGACACCACAGGAATGTTAAAATCATACAAGATTCCTTAAAAGCTGTAACAACAAAGAGACTTTTGCTCCATGACTCTCTGATTATTATCAAAGTATAAAAGGAAACAAAAGCTCCCTAAAGGGATTTGCCACTGTCATGAAGGATGTTCAGCAAAGGATCTAACTAGAAGAGGGATTCCCTATAGTGGGGAAAAGTTGTTCAGATGTTCCTACTTGCAAAGGCCACTCTGTTGATTATATTAAGCTCTGAAATACTACAAAATCTCCTATGTGCCACAGCAGATAGAGAGCCAGGATTGAAGTCAGGAAAACCCATCTTTGTGAGTTCAAATAAGCCCTCAGACACTTACTAGCTGTGTGACCCTGGGCAAGTCTGAACCCTATTTGTCTCAGTTTCTTCATCTGTAAAATGAGCAGGAGAAGGAAACGGCAAATCACTCCAGTATCTTTGCCAAGAAAATCCTAAATGGGGTCACAAAGAGTCGGACACGATTGAAACACCAACAACTACTCTTAAACGAAATCCTTACTCATCCAAAAGAAGGTATCCTCCCTAAACACATGATTGTTGTCTAGACTATGAAATAAACTCGTGCAGGAAATCTACAGAGCCATTCCAGAGGAAATGCTGAGGACAAGACACTGAATTAGGCCTAGGACTGAAGAGGAAGAGGTGAAGGAGACAGCATTAAGGAAACTGTAGCAGGTTTTTAACAATCTCAGACTTCTCCCTGAAACACAGGCCCATCTTTTAATCTCTATAGTTTTCTGGTAATGCTGAATGGATGTGAATCACGCACTATCATAGTCTCAAAAGAATTAAAGTTTTAAGTCACTCAAAGAGCAAGAGAGAGATGCACACAGAGTGAGCAGAATATAGTAATTACCAACAAAGAACTGAAATGGCACAAAATACATAATCACAGAAATATGACTGGAAAAGAAAGTGAGTGGATCAATAACAAGAACAAGATAAAACTGCTAGCCATGTGCTTCAATCATATCCACTCTATGGTAAAGTGTGAAGAAAGGCTCCCCACTCCCAAGATCACGGATGGATTCCTAGAGTTTTATGGCACAGCTTGGAGAAGCTGTGACTATGATGTGACTAGGATGAGAAGGTATGGATGAGATGCACTGTGTCCCAGTGGAAAGAGTACCCACATCAATGAATCACTGATGCAGTGCATCCCTAGAAACAGGCTACAGCCTCTCTTCACCCTCTGGGTCTGCCTCTGAGGCTTTCTGTGTTACGCACAACTCAGATTCTTCAAGATTAACAATCATATAGCACTGCCACAAGAAAATTTTGGGTTAAAAAGATAGGCTTCTTGCACCAGAGAAAAGATTTAAATTGTTAAAAGCACGATGCAACTTGCCAAATGAAATCTAGCCTGCTCATCTTTCAATAAAATCCTGGAACCAACTCACTGTTGCATGATAATGCCTGGCCCATATGAATGCACCGATGTACTGAGTGGACTGGACCACTACATACTTGCTTAAAAACAACCAAAATGTCCTGGCTTTTTTCACCCAAGCATGTTACATCAGTAGTGGGGAGGTAATATAGCAAGGGGGGACATTGAAGAAGTAGTCATAGCAATCATCCTTCTCCCACAAAACAGACCTTGCTCTCTATTTTCTCCTAGTTCTGTACCATCAATATTGCTTATGACCCAACTCCCTTCCACTGAGTCTGAGCTCTTTATGGTAAAATGCTTCACTAGAGTCTCCTACCACATTTTACAAACTTAGGCAGTCCCTATTTCATTTTTATTTTCTGGCTATTTGTAAGCCCCTCCATACAATTCCATCTCAGTAAATCAATAAACCTTTATTAAGCACCAGGCACTATGCTAAGTGCTAGGGATACAAAAAGCAGCAAAAGACAATTCCTGCTCTCAAGGAGCCAGCAATCTAATGGGGTGACATGTAAACAAATATATTGAAAGCAAGCTACACACAGGATAAACAGGAAAAAATTAAGAAAATGAAAGCACTAGAACTAAGAGGGGTTGAGGACGGCTTGTTCTAAAACACAGAATTTTAGCTGGGACTTAAAGGAAACCAGGAAAGTCAGCACGTAGAGATGAACAGGGAGAAGTGTTCCATGTGTCGGGGACATCCAGAGAAAATGTGTAGAGCCAAGAGATGGAACGTCTTGTTCATGCAACAACCAGGAGGCTAGTATCACTGGATCAACATGTATGTATCAGGGAATAAGGTAAGTAAAAGGACAGGTAGGAGGGAGTTAGGTTATGAAGGACTTTGAATGATAAATGGCACATTTTGTATTTGGTCCTGGAAGTAGCAGAGAGCCACTGAAGCTCATTGGAGGGGGGAAAAAGGGGAGGGGGGAGGGAGTAACATGATCAGACCTACACTTTTAGAAAAATCACTCTATTAGTGATTTAACGAAGGATGGAGTGAAGTGGCGAAAGACCTGAAGCAGGCAGACCCACCAGCAGCTGTTACAGTAGTCCAAGTGTGAGGTAATGAGGGGCTGCACCAGGGTGAGGGCTATGTCAGAGAAGGAGGTGTATTTGAGAGATGGTACAAAGGTGAAATCAGCAGGCCTTAGCAACAGCTCTGGTAATCAATGCTTATTTATATGATCCTTTGTTGAATTAAACTCAAGACCTTGTACCTCCTTCGCAGTTTTCCTAACTCTATCCCATAACATTTTTCTTACTTTCAGTTCCCAAGTCCACTGTTACATCACTTCCAGCTTAGCTAGTGCCTTAGAACCAACTGGTTGTTTTATATATGAATGTTCCCACCACAAACACAAAAAATTACTTTCTTCTCCTGTATCTTCCATAGTCAAGGGTTCACATGGGAAGGAAACAATTTTTCCAGGCACATTAGTAGGGTACAATGTTAACAGTGTCACAGAGTAGGGAAACCCACTCCTCTACCTTCAATACTATAAAATGACAGTTCTTAGTGTTGAATGTGATACTGATGTCACAATGCCTTCATTACAATGTCAACATAACCATAAAAAACACTAAAGACCCTTATGGGTTCTCCAATGTGTCAGAGACCCACTTCCAGGGTAAACAGTATAGTACTAAATATTTCGTGTACTGAATATTTCAGAATTAATACTGAGTACAATGTTCTATATATTTTATAAAGTTTTATCTTCAAAATAAATCTTCATAAGCCCCAGTGACTAAGGCAAATTGGGCAAATTCTATTCTCTTCCTCAAACCCCTTTTCTCTTTGGTGTACAACTCCCAAGAAATAACAGAAACAGAAAAAGGCTAGAATATATAGACAGATGCTTGAATGAATTTTGAGGAATCAACGATGGGAACGATGCTCACATCATAAAAATGTACCACAGAGATAGGACAAAGTAAGAAAAAGAAAGCCTTGTTTCTGTCTGAAGCAAAGGCAACAGTAGATCAATGAAAGGGAATTTCTTGTTCATTTTTGTCAGTGTGGTCACCTCGATGCCAAAGTTTAAAAAAATATGACAGGACTCTGTGACATACTCTTGGGTGTTAAAGTAGAGATGGTAATTAACCTAAGTCCTGTAGTTGTTACATATTGTACTAACTTTTCTATGATTCAGAAAAAAACTGACAAAATAAAACTATAGAGAAAAATAAGAGTAAAATGGCAATCACAAAAAGGTTTTCAAAAACCTAATATACAAGGTAAAGATGGTAAGGTAATAAAGATATAATAAAAGATCTCTTAATTTAAGACCATAGCATTCTATGCTATTATTAGCCTTCAAAAATAGACTAAATAATATAAATTGCTTAAATAATGAGGTCAGTTAATTAAAATGACTGCCAAGGGAAATATTCATGTCATTACTAAGTTATTAAAGTTAGAAGGTGAGAACAAATTACAAATCTTCCGACTATATAAGAATTACTTGAGAAGTAAACATTCTTTCCCTATGTTACAACAGCCATTTTGTTTCCATTGTTAAGTTAATTCATGGGGAGGGGGAGTATGGAAAAGGGAGAAAGTTTGAATTTAGTAATATTGTACAATAAAATATATTTGTCAAAATAATCAAAATATGAAATTATGCCAGACTTGTCAAGATTTTCATTAACCTAAAAGCCATTTATATTTTGCCACATTGAGACACCTTATATTTATACAGCCTCGATTAGTTGCTTTGCCTATTTGAAAACCAGAAATTAAGATTAAAATTCATATTTCAAACTGACAAAATAAAAGTATACATTCAAGATGCTAAGAAAAAAAGCCAAGCTCAGTCCATATACCAAGCAAATAATTATGAAACATTTTAATATTAAATGTTGTTTAACATTTAACATTAACAAAGTGTTGTTGGCTGTTCAGTATAATACCTGTGAAATTATACCGGAGTACACCTAGGCAAGCAGTAAGTAGTAGTAGTTTGGGGTATGCTAAAAGTGATCATATACTCAGGACACTGTTTTCCCCCAGCTCATATGTCACTAAAATTTTGCTATAAAACTAAAACTTCCTAAGAAACATTTATGTCACTGGTAACAGCAAAGATAGACAGATCTGAGATATTTAGAATGCCACAGACTGACACTCCCAATTCAACTTCCAATTCCAACTAAACCTTACAACTTTTTTCCATTCCAAATGGAAATTTTAACTGGAAACTATATTTGGGAAGCAGATTTCAAAACCTTTCACCAAAGATATAAGTTTGAGAAAAGAAAAATTATACAAAGCTTCAAAAATTAATTACTGACTGTTAAAACATGCCTTGAATAGGACAAGCAAATTAGAAAGTTAACTTACCTGGCTTCTTCCTGGACTTTTCATGACCCAATTGTCCTAGATCATTACATCCACAAGTATATACTGTCCCATCATCCAGGACAAATACTGTATGTCTGAGTCCACATCCCACATCCTGGATCTTTTTATTTATGAAAAAGTCACTTTTCCTGGGCTCTAGCACAATCTCTTCATCAATTCCACCCAATCCTAGCTGTCCAAAGGATGCGTTTCCCCAGCACAACATGCTTGTATTTCTTTTGATCTTCCAGATTCAATGATTTTAAAAACTCCCTTCTGTATGGAAGTAGGATTCGTCCCTGGGTCAGGGGAAATGAAGAAATAACGTCAACATAGCTTCAAGAGAAACTTTATGTCAGTACTCTTTTTCAAGTACCATACCTACATACTTATTCATAACACAGTAAGCACTAAAATCTAAGACCTTGAACAAGTATTGTCCATCTTCAACGTCGCTTTTTAAAAAATGCTTCAGAAATGTTTTACAAAATCACAAACTTCACACACATGACAACAAATTTTGACTTGTCTTTTATCTTTTGATAGATATATTCAGGGGAAATCATTTTAAGCATCTTTCTCTAATAGATTTTTATGTTTCTGAATATTTTCTAAAATTATTTCAATTAGAATAACACTTCCCCTTACATAAAAATAAGTTCATAAAGATATTACTTATCTTACTGCAATTGTTGCAACAAAACAGCATAACCAAAAAGGAAAAAACAAGTGCCCAAAGCTCCATTACACAATCCTCTTCTAGAATAAACATCAGCATTTGTGAAGGAAACACGATAGAAGACATATACATACTGGAGGATCTGATGACTTTATAGAAAACATCAACTACAGCACACAACTTTTTCAGGCTCTTTACTAAACTGTCTTTTAGTTAGAATAGAATTAAAGCTGGTCCACATCAACACCAGTTGCATGAAGCAATTTCTGCCCAAAAGAAAAAAAAAGAAACAGTTATAAACAACAAACTTGAACCACTTGATAATTTTTTTAAATCTTCCAATTATTAATAATAATTTTACTTTGTAAGGCAATAGGGAAATAACTTCCTCATCATAATGTCCTATCAAAACACAGACTTGTGACAGTCAAACCCAAATAAGTATTTTTTAAAATGTATTTCCATTTCATTCTAAGTTTAAATTTAAAACGAAAATAATAAGCCACAAACGTACAAATATTAAAAATGTATGCAGTTTTCACTCATGATCTTCCTAATAAACATTTTCTGCGCACAATAAAAATAAAATTTCAATGCAGTCTTCTACTTCTCTGACTAGTAAGATTAATATTTTTTTTAAGTAAATAACACTGGCACAGCCAACTTTTCAAGGGTTGGCGGAGGGGGAAGGGACACTCAGTTTTACACTGATGGTGAAATCCCTGGAACTTTCCAGTTCGATGATTATTCCTTTACTGTAAAGACAGATTAACAAGAGGAGTCCATAAAGCTAAATAGGCAGCATTTCTTAAAGACACCGCATTACTAAATCATACCATTTATAGGAAGTCAGCACTTAGTCATCTCCATTCCTCACTCACAACTATTCTGACAAGTTTGAAACCCAGTTTTCCTATATCCATGACAAGTACAGATTCTGCTGAGTCTCTATGACAGAGCCTTCCGGAGAATTATAGCCTACTTTCTATACAAGCCACGAAGACAGAACTTGGCATTACTCTTTTATTTGGGAGAGGGACGTGTGGAATGATTATGGAATTTCAAATTAAACAAAAAATGGGGGGTGAAGGTGGCAAATGTCTTTATGTCCCTTCCACAGCACAAATCAAGGTGTGAGATGCAGCTATTTTTATCCTTCTCTGAGCCTTGCACCCTAAAGAAAAGCAATGTGGGAAGACTGGAGTGGGGTGAGGGGAAGGTCCATACAACACCCAACCACCGGAGGCCAAATCGATTGGGACAAACAGCCAACAAGCAGCAACATCAACCCCCTGGGGAGAGGGAGACAGAGCTTTAGGAGCTGCAAAGGTCCTCAGAGACCAGTTGGTGCAGCTTTCTCCCTATACAAACAAAGCGAGGCCCGGAGTTTGTAAGTGACTGCCTAAAGAGGGGCATTATATTGATTTAGCACCGGCAGGGACCTTACGGAGCATAGAGAACAGAGGTGTCAAACTCCTGGCCCCAAGCTGCAGATAAAAACTGAGTGCTGTCCCAACCAGATTAGGTAATTTTAACAAAATAAATATACAATACAACGTAGATAACCTAATTTGTGGGGGGACTCCCGGCAAGGATCTGTTTCTATGAGTGTGACACCACTGACGTAGACCAACTCCATCATTTTCCAAAAGTGGAAACTGAGGCTGAGAAGTTCAGACACTTGCCTGAAAGGACAGGGACGCATGACCTAGGATTCAGAGCTGGGAGGAGCCTCAGAGATCACCTAGTCCACCTTCCTCACGTACTTGTAAGCAAAATCAAGGCAAGATCAAAGGCTAGAAATCTGGGAAGTGATCCTGGAGATCACTTGGTCCATTCACACCCGGAGCAGGCTGCCCGCAAGACTTGGAAAAGGAGAGGTTCTTAGAGATCCTCACCGAGAGAGAAACTGAGTCTCGGCAAAAGGTCGTGCCACTTGCCTTCCACACAAAGACTGGCCGAGAGCCCAGGGACCCCCATTGTCCAGAGGAGCGCACCGGGTTCAGGATCATTTCATAGAAGGGGGCCTGTCGGGGCTTGCCCCCCCCCACAGACCCCCGCGAGTGAAAGAGACTGTAGGGATCCCCCTCACCCGGCCCCTCACTTCTCAGAGGCGGGGGACTCCGAGTCCAGGGAGGGGGAGGGGGAGGGGGAGAGGAGGGGCCCCGGCCCCGAGCCAGAGAAGGAGGCCCCGGGGGCCATCCCAGGACCCCAGCCAGGGAGGGTGGACACGTTTTCTGCCGAGGCCCGGAAAAGTGAAGTGACTTTCCCAGGAAAAGTCCTCGATTTAAAGGCGGACGAGCCCCGGGGGGGACTCGGGCCAGGTCCGCGTTTTACAGAGATGGAAACTGAGGCCCCCCCCAGAGGACGGGGTAAGGCGGCCGGGGGGGGTCCCCACAGGCGGGAAGGGTGGGCGGCCTCCAGCCCCGCCCGGCCCCGACCCCGGTCCCCTCCCCCTCCCCTGGCGGGGCCGCACTCACTCACCGGGCTCCGCAGGGAGGGCAGCGGAGCCCCGGAGCGCGGGGCCCGGCCCCTCCCGAGGCCGCTCCTCCGGCGTCGCGGCCGCAGCCGCCGTCGCTGTCGCCGCCCGCGGCAGCCGGGAAACTTTCGCAGGTGCCCTCCCCGGGAGGCGCGGGCCGCGGCGGGCGCGGAGCAGAGGAGGAGAGAGCGAGGAGAGGAGCCCCCGCTGCCGCCGCCGTCCAGTCCCGAGCCAGCCCCAGCGACCCGGATGGAGATGGGGGAGGGAGAAGAGGAGAGGGAGGAGGGAGCGGCGAGGAGGGCAGGGCCGGGAGGGAGAGGGGCGGGGAACCCAGGAAGGGAGAGGAGGGGAAGGACAGACAGGGAGGGAGGGAGGGAGGGGCCGGGGCTGGCGGAAGTGAGCGGAAGAGCGCGCCCCCGCTCCCACTTCCTCGCCCCTACGCGCCGGCGCGGGAGATCGCAGAGGCCCGCCCCATCCTCTCCTTTCCTGTGAGGAGGAAGGGCCGGCGCTGGACGCTCAGGCGCATGCGTCACCCCTGCTCCAGCCCCCGCGTCCGAGGAGGGGGCCCCGAAGGCCTAGGGAGAAGATTCGAGGCGGGTGTTAATCCGCTGGGTCCTAGCGCTACGGCTGAGAGACGGGCCGGGGCCGGGGCCGGGGGCCGGCAGGCCAACCTCCTCCAGTTCGGTTTTTATTTCTGAGGGGAAGTAAATTGCCCAAGGCTACACACCAGTCTGGTGACATTTGAACCCGGAGCCTCAGTTTCCAGAGGCAGGACTCCTTCCACCCTGCCATAACTTGAGGAGATTTCTGAGGGGAAAAGCGCCTGTCCCTAAAGCGCTTCGGGGTTCACGAAGCACTTTCTTCCCGGCTTCCTCGTGCGGAGGTGGGGCTCGCGTGGGGGAGGGGCGTCGTGTTTCCTCCTCCCTCACCTGGAGGCGGCCTGGGGCCGAAGCCGCAGCGTGAGGTGTAGACGCCGCCTCTGCTATAAGAAGTGTAGCTATCCTAGATGTAATGGGCCGTGCGTGTGCCCGCCTCGCGCGCTTGCCCAGGCCCTGGCCGCCGGCCTCAGCCCCGGCGTTCCCTGAGGCAGCTGCTTTAAAGTTTCCTTAGAGGCGTGGATTCGAGAGCTGCTGGGACCTTAGAGGTCATTTAGCCCCCTTCCCCCATCTTACCAAGAGACAGGCCCGGAGAACTTCCCCGGGTAAGCTCAGCCCGCATTTACACTGCGCTTTGTGAAAAGTATCAACCCCCGGAGGTGGGTGCTGTTAGTAGAATTCCCATTTTGCAGATGAGGGAACTGAGGCAGACGGAGGTGACGTGACATAGCCAAGGTCACACAGCTCATGAGTGTCTGAGGCAGGGTTCTGATGGGGCGCTAATGATGCAGCCTAAAAGGTCCTGGACTTTCCCACGTGGCCCTTGGAGTCTGCACCTGGCCCCACCCTAGACCCCCACCCCAGACCCCCACCCCTTAATGGCACCTACACCCTTTCTCGTTACCTCCAGTAGTCCCAAGCTATTGGCCGCATTGTAAAAAGCTCAGTCTCCTCTACCAGATTGCTCAGATTTCTTAAGAGTCTGGCCAATATCAGGGATTCTTAAAATCTTGCCTACCCTAATTGGTGTTTTAATAAACCTTGTCTCTGACTGAAAGAAGGCTTGAGTCAAATTCATTCAAAGCTGCACCCGGACTTCGTCTTCTGCCCGTCAGTTTTGGGGTTCCCAGCACCGTAGACCGCAGCAGGCCCATTGACCCACAAATCCAACTTTGCAAAATACCAATTTCAATTTCCCCAGCTAAAATGGGTATCGCCATAGCACTGACCATACAAGATTGTTGTGAGAGTCAAATGAGAAGGTTTATGTTAAGTGCTTTGTGAACTTTAAAGCTTGGTGTGAATGTTAGCTCGTTCAGGAGACCCGGAGGGCTGTGAAGCAATGATAGCTAACTTTTATATAGTGGACGTGCTGTTATTAACAGATTAGGAAACTGAGGCAAATAAGGGTTAAGTGAGTTGCTCAGGGTCACACAGCAAAGCAAGTATGGGAGGCCCAGTCTTCTGACTCCAGGCCCTGTGGTCTGTCCACTGTACCACCACTACCTATTCGTTGCATAGAGAGTTCACTGACAGCGTGACAACTCATCGGTTTCTATTAAGTTAAAATTAAGTAGTTAGCCTCTTTATTTCCCAGGTTACTAATGTGTAGTTCCTGTCGCTTCTTCAAGAAAACCAAGATATCCTTTTTCCATGAGAGAATCTAAGTTTATTCTTTCAAGAGCATAGGCTTTAGAGCTGGAAGGAACTTTAGAAATCATCTAAATCCTTTATACAGGAGTGTAACTAAGATCACAGAGGTATTAAGGAAATAACTGTCAATATGCATCTTCACATTTCTAACGCAATGTTCTTTCCCCTATACTCAGCTGTTTGAGGTAGTTTTATCAGTGAGTTAAAGGAAAGGCTAAAAAAAAATGATAATGCAACCCTACAGAAACCACCTCAGGAACAAAAGTCCTTTTATGCCAAGGATGAAGGAGGTTTTTATTTCAAGACAGCTGGCATCCATAAGACATTTGTGTTTAACATCCTTAACGCTGAAGTGAAATTTTTAAATGTTTATATCAGCTATCTGGAATATTTGAAGTGTCAGCAGAAATCTTATTTTCTAATTAGCTATGTTTTCCCCAAAAAAATTAAAAGAAAAAAAGCAGACATTTTAACATTTCCTAATACTTGTATCTAATCTTAGCATATCAGTAATCTAGGTTGAACCAGTGATCAACTTGAACCTAGAATACATTGCCTATTGATCACTTTCAGTCAAAGAGTAAAGTTCAGAGATTACTCAAAATGCTAGTAAAATAATGACAGCATGAGGTAATACCATTATCACCTGCTTGTCATCTCTGGTGATCCAGGTTTTAAGGCTCTAAGCAAAGTGCTCATTCTGGCAGGTTCTACCAAATTGACAAGTTCTCTTTATGGACCTGTTGATGTACCACGTGTCTGTTGTCCAAAGATTATCAAATGTAAGTTCAGAAATACTTATCACTAGGTTGTCTTCCCAGTGGTGAATATTTTAGTCACAGCAACTCTCGAAAGCTGTCTACAATCACACCTCAACGTTGGAGCCTTTAACTTTGGCAACTGTGATTTTATTAGTAACCTCATTTTCACTTTGGAATTTGCAGCCTCCAACATTTCCACTGGCTGTGCACAGTGGAGAAAAAAATAAGAGATTCGTGTAAGTTTGTGCAGTAGCAGGTATCCTATTAGGCACTTCAGTGGTCTTATTCACCCTACCATTGTAGCATAAAGAGCTCCCCCATGCGTCAGTTGTATATTTTCATTGTTTGCCTTTAAAACTCAAGTTTCGTGTTGCAGTTATGTCCCCAATGCATAGTGCAAGTTCTTTGGGCTCTAAGATGATATTGAGATCTCACCAGTCTCTGTGTCTTCAGCAGCAGCAGCAACTAAAGTCCCAGCAACCCCTCCCTTGGTTTTCAGAGGGCACCCAAGGTGGAGAGGTTTACAGCAGTGTAGTATGACAAAGCCCTCACGCTACCATCTGACACAATGGAAGGTAAGATTCAGATTAAAAAATGTTCAGTTTTAATCATTTTATTAACTGTACAGCATTTAGGGTACTGTAGATTTCATGTGTTATGAAAAGTGAATATTGCCTAAAATCAATTTTTTTTGAGATATTAGCACAAAAGGTCATAGATTCTAGGGAATTAATTACTAGAGAAAAAAAGTGTTTTGCGTGTTACCAAGTTTTATTTTGTGTATTACATTTGATAGTTTACTTCGTGGTTACTATGGTAGTAAAAGTATATATTATCAGAATCGTGTTTTATTATAAAGAATTGTATGTAGAAATCAGCAGTCTCTTGTGAAAGATTACAGTTTTTGGTGGTTGTGGAAGCCTAACTCCCTATTTCCCATAGGTTCAATGTATCAACATTCGTGTTCTTGACTTCCACACTGTTTTCTAGGCATGAACATTACCCCTGCTAAAGATGAGATTAACTGTACTAAGGTGTCAAAGAGCTTGCAATTTTCATCAGTGGAGGGAGCATCTATACCAACAAAATTACAGATCCTTAAAAAAAATGAAATATGGTACCTTTTTTGGTAACCAATCTTTTAAATTTGAATATTGTCCAATTTCATATTAAATTAAAATTTTAATATTGTCCAAATTACAATCTGGTTTCATATTACTAGTAGTGAAATTAAGACTTTCCATATTCAAATGCCTTCATAATGCTACTTGATTCTAAATGGATGGCAAATGGATAAATCTATTTACTATGGAGAAGTATGTCTGATATGGTATCAAAATTTGTTTCCTCCTCTTTGCACGTATTCTAAAACTTGTTATTCTTCAAGAAGACAAAATTTCTGCAATCCTTGGTATTACAAATACGAAAACTAGATTGTAATTTGGGCCAATCAGAGAGCTCAAGGGTCTTGGTCGCACGCGCACACACACACACACACACACACACACACACACACACAAGCAGGTAAATTCTCCTGAGTAAGATAGAAAAATATTATGAAAATAAATAATGAGCTGGCCTAATACTTTCCTCACTTCACTAAACAAAAACTTTAGTCAATTCATTAAGTAAGTAGGGATAGTTTTTTTTATCATATAAGAGTCAAAATAAATATTGAAAACTATTCTCCTTTTTTTCTTCTTTTAAAGGATATAATTACCTTTCCACTTTTTTTTTTTTGCTTTCTTAAAGCAACTCGGGACACAATGTGATTTTCCAATCCGGGGCTGGAGTACTGTAGAGGCATTATCTTGGTGGCCTGTGGGATAACATTTCTCTTGAACACTTGTAGAGAAAAAGAACACCCAACAATGGGATTCTCTTTACTAGAAATTCAATTTATTGGCTTGGTAATCATGGGAATTTTCCCAGCCCACTTTTATTTATGTATTGCAACTATGCTCACCTCCTTTAGCTCCATACTTCTTACCTTATCATTTTCTCCTTCTAAGAGAATTGGACTGGAAATGTGGACACTTACCTTCAAGTGTGGACTCTTACTTTGTGCTACTGACTGTGACTTTGAGCAAAGCTCATAATTTTTCTAGCTGTCAGTTTTCTCCTCTGGAAATGAGTCAGGTGGTTTGAATAATGTCTAAGGTCTTTTCTTGATCTAAAAAAATTCTAATTTTATGATTCTATTCTTTTGCTTTTCCACCTCTCTTTCCACAATTTATAATCCTTCCATTGTCATCTTCTTTCTGGAGATTTACAGAACAGGAATCAGTGAGTCTGAGGGAAGGGTTAAACAAGACCATTTCCTTATCTGGATCTCTTTTTAAAAAAAACCACACAGCTACTTAAAATCGGCATATATAGTAGGTTGCTTTGTATTTGTTATGTTGTTATCCTCTAATCCACAATAATTTTTATTTTAAGTGTAGTATTTCTATGGGTCAGCTCTCTAAATCAGTTATCCTCAAGTTTATTTCTTTTGCAACATCCCATTCTGGAAAAGTAACACTTGTAAAAGCAAAAACAGTTTTGATACTACTGCATTTCATATAGATGTCTTTGTTTCTTTTCCAGCACCTATTCTCATCATTCAGGGGACATTTAAGCAAGTATTAAGCTGAAAAATCAGATGTAATGAGTCCCTTGGCCAGCATGTGGGGATGTGTTCATGCCTTTGAATCCAAAGTGCAATTGTTATAGTCATTACTCACTGAAAAGAGAAAAGTCATTGTGATTTGTGGAACAGAAGAATAAGATAGAAAACATGAAAATTACAAGATTAATTCCTCTATAAGTAGGATGATTTATTCATCAACGGTAGTATTACCTATACTGTGAAATCAAAAGGCTTCCCACAGCAAGCATGTTAACAATAAACATTAATGAATAATGAACATATCAGTAATTGAATATATAAGTAATAATACTGTAATTGTAATACCAAGGATTGCAGAAATTTTGTCTTCTTGAAGAATAACAAGTTTTAGAATATGTGCAAAGAGGAGGAAACAAATTTTGATACCATATCAGACATACTTCTCCATAGTAAATAGATTTATCCATTTGCCATCCATTTAGAATCAAGTAGCATTATGAAGGCATTTGAATATGGAAAGGCTTAATTTCACTACTAGTAATATGAAATATGTGTAGGTCACTTTATTTCATTCCTTGGACAGGGGTCCATTCAAGGTTATTCCATAGCATGAGACTTCAAATGGCATAATTGAAATGGTATAAATAATCTGGGGCAGCTAGGTGGCACACTGGATGGAGCACCAGGTCTGAAGTCAAGATGACTCATCTTTATGAGTTCAAATCAGGCCTCAGACATTTACTAGCTTTGTGACCCTAGACAAGTCACTTAACCCTCTTTGTCTCAGTTGCTCATTAGTAAAATGAGCTGGAGAAGGAAATGGCAAACCATTCTAGTGTCCAGGGGTCCAAGAAAACCCCAAATGGAGTCACAAAGAGTCAGACACAACTGAAACAATGAAACAACAACAACAAATAAAGAATCTACTAGTTGTTAAGTAAAGGTTGAGACCTTAACTTTCTGGTGTGTCCCTCTTCTCAGGTAGGTACAGGACTGGTATTAACTTTAATTACAGTCACTTTGCACAAGTATTATTCACAGCATCATCAGTTGAGACCATCGCTAATTAACTGGCCAACTTATATTAAAAGCTTTGCTTGGCATTCTGTGAGACTGTGATATCTTATTTTATAAGGGGACATAATATTAAAATAACACGTAATATATTCCTGCAGCTTGATGCCTCATGTGGAAGTTAGTTTTATACATCTTGCAAATGTTGCACAGATGTTAAAAGGTAAAGAGATAGAAAATGTGAAAAATTCTGCCATGAAATCCACTGAGAGAAAATGTTTTACTTTTCCCTTGATACCTTCAGGGTACAGATAATTTTTACACATACTGTCTGTTTGCAAACTTTAAAAAAAGAATTAGCTGTTCATTTCCTTAGCCAAAATGAAAAAGATTGTCATGACAGCTGACATCTAGAAATAGATAAAATACTAACATTTTTATGGGAAGATTTTCATTAGCATTTGAGCAATGTGTTCTTGTAATCTCCATATGAGATCTGATAGCCTCAAGGAAAATATTTAAGCAAGAGTGAGTAGGAAAGGATAGAGCATTCCTAAAAGACAAATTATAGTTGCCACCTTCACATTCCCAAAGACAATTTAAGCATATTAACATGACAGAAATGTTTGTCCAAGAAAAATGTCATGCAATTTGAGCTGAATGTTTTTACCTCAGTTGAAAAAAAAATTACTTGCAAATAAACACAAGACTGTGAAGAGGTGAGTTGAAGTTCTATACTATTGTTCACTTTGAACAGACAAGTTCACCAGTTTAATCATTTAAGGAAAGCAGTACACAGCGTGCTCAAGTTGCCATCCAGAAGGGTAGCTTTAAACTTCTCCCATCTACCCCGTAGATATAGTAGGCTTACTAGAAAATAGTAATCTTATGGAACAGTGGGGATGGGGAATTGTGCCAAGTTCTGAGAAACATCAAAATTAAGATCAGCGAAAGGGGATTAATTTCCCTTAGTATATAGATTAGAGTGATATAATCGTTTATTGACTATGTGTTAGAGAAGACAAAAAAAAGGAGGGATTAATTTTTTCTTAGGGGTGTTTCGTTACCAACATGATTAGCAAATACAAGGTTTTTTTCTGATTGATGAAAGCATTCTTTTTAAAATTCAGATTTATTGTGGAAACAAATCTTTCTTTGCGCATTTAGATGTTGCTCATTTGAAAATTTCTTCATCCTGTGGCACCTCCAGAGACTTCTATATCTCCTTCATTATTCTGTGAGTTATCACTCACGGCCTCTACAGTCTGATTCCAAACTACTTTTCAACCATGTATCCTATTACTGCCCCGCAGGAATCCCCTGCTCTAGCCAGGCTGGTCAAACTTCTGTTCCTGAAGCAGTATGCCTTCAAGTCCGACTTATTTATCCTCCCTGAAGCCTTCCAGACCCATTGCCGCCCATGGTAATCTCACTGTCCTCTGAACTTGAAGCACTGTTGTCCAGCCACTCGTTTGTCACTTACACTCTGTTTGTAAATTGCCATTTACCAGGCCTGTGAAGCAAAGCAGGATGCTAGGCACTAGTGGAAATAGAAAGATAATTAAAATATGCTCCTAATGGGATATATCGTCTAGCAGGGGGAGATATGACATGTATATTTAACTTTTTGTGTGTGTGTGTCAGCGTCTTCTCACTTATCACAGTTCCTTATTTGTCATAGGTCGTTATGAAATGTTTTGGAAATTACAGGGCAAAATTTGTCTCTGCTTCCCGTGATACACTCTGTAGGATAATTGTTCCTGCTCACAACTTATAATCGTAAGATTTACAGGTGGAAGAGTTCACTTGCTCCCCCCATAGAAGCACAATGGTCATTAAGCCAAAGACACCAGACACCGAGATGAAGACTCACTATTCAATGAAAACTACAGGGAAAACTGGAAAGAAGTTTAGCTCTAACTCACCATGAATAGGAGAAATGCTAATTAAAACAGCTTTGAAGTCCCGCCTCACATTCATCACATTGGCAAAGATGATGAAACAGCCAAAGAGTTGTTGGAGAGGATATGGAAGGCCAGCTGACTTCATGCCCTTTTAGTGGAGCCATGACTTGGAAAGTGATGCGAAACTGTGTCCTAAAAGTCCCAAAACTGCATATTCTCTGACCCTACGGATACTGAGAAGAGGAAAGATCACATATGTGTAAAAATGCTTATAGTAGATCTCTTTGTGGTGGCAAAGAACTGAAAGCTAAAGGGGTACCCATCAGTTCAGAAACTGAACAAATTATGGCACATGAATGTAATGGAATACTGATATGCTGTAAGAAATGATGAAAGGGAGGGAAACATAGGGAGGATGTGTAAACTGAAGCAGAGCGAAGTGAGCAGAACCAGGTCAACAATTTAAACAACAACTATAATTCTATAAAGACAATTTTGAAAGATTTAAAAACCCTGATCAATGCAGTGACCAACCATAATAATAAGAGCCCCGATGAAGGCACTTGCTACCCACTTTGTCTGATGGATTTAAAATACAGAATGAGACCTACATTTTTGGACACCTTCAGTGTAGAAGTTATTTTTGCTTGAGTGTATATGCTTACAGATGTTTTGTTTTTCTTTTATTCAATGGGAAAGGTAGGAGAGAAGATAGCATAAAAGTTACATATAGGAATAAAAACTAATTTGGTATTGAAAAAATTTAATCATCTTGTTGCTAAGCTAGTGATAACTCATTCCAAATGCAGCAAGCAAGGTGCTTAGACAGTTGTTGTTCAATCGTTTCAGTTATGTCTGACTCTTTGTGACCCCATTTGAGGTTGTCTTAGACCCTTGGATACTGAAATGGTTTGCCATTTCCTTCTCCAGTTCATTTTACAGATGAGGAAACAGAGGCAAAGAGGATTAAATGACTTGTCTAGGATCACATAGCTATTAAGTATCTGAGGCCTGATTCGCACTCAGGAAGCAGAGTCTTCCTGACTCCAAGCTCAGTGCTGTATCCACTGTGCCACGTAACTCCTCGGAGGATAGACATATAATAAAGATGATACTCTCGATTAGGACTTTAGTGAAAGCAAGAGACCAATAGTCAACAAGTACTGTCTTTACAATGTTGTAATATAAATTATTCTTCTAGTTCTACTCTTTTCATTCTGTATCACTTCATATGAATTGGTGTCTTCCTGTTTGCACCTGTTCCTTCGCTACCAGGTTTCAGGTCTTCCTGGATCTTTTGGGCTCAGAGTCCTGGGGGCTGCAGGCCACATAGGATTGTCGGTTCAAAGTGCTGCTAGATCGAGGCTCCCCTGCAACATTTTGGTTTCATTGCTATGGTCTTCAAATCCCTCTGGAGTACTTGAGTCAAAGCACACTGCCTGCCTCAGGGTGCATCTGCAGTCAGAATCCCTTGGATTTCTGACCACTCCTCAGGAGCTTCCCATTAGGGAAATCTAAGGGTTATTACCACCTGCAAGAGTTCTTCAGGCTTCAGGTGCCTCTGGAATGACTGAGTCAGAAGACCGACAGACTTCTGCTTTATTTTCCTGAGTTTTCTCTGACGTCCCTGGAGGGACCCTTTTCCTAGTGCCCTCAAGCTTCTGGCTGTAATTTTGTAGAATGCTTTACTGTATGAAAGAGCTTTTCATTGTTTCTTTTTAAATTTCTTAATCATTATTCGATCTGGTACCTTTGTTTAGATCTTTGTTAGAGTATATGTTAGGGAACTGGGCCTTTCAAATTGCCGTCTTAACCAGAAGTTTTTCATACACAGTTTCATAATAAATATTAACAGAGTGACTCAATTAGTTAATGATGCATTGTCTCTGTATGAATTTTCATTAGGATTTTGTGAACAACATTTCCTTATCTTTGTGTAGTCATATGAGAAAAAACTTGGCTTAGTGGATAGAATGCTGGACATAGAACTATCCTGGATTCACTGCCTCAGATATCATTTAGTCGTGGGACCATATGTGCCAATATTTGGGCAATAAATGGTCAATAATTCACTTAATCTTTCTGAACAATCTCTCAGGCAGCTTTAAACTGTAGACACTTTATGATCTCCTTGGTGTCTATGGGACCACCCAAGAAATTAGAGGTCCTTGCCATATGTATTGCATGACCATTTTGAAAAAAATCCTCATGGTTGTGACCATGTGTTCCAATTTTACTTTGAAAATCTCTGACTATTCCAATGATTTATCCACAAACTTCCCAGAAATTACTTGGAAATCTGCATACTGACAAATTAGAATCCTATAGGGCAAAACTGAAACCCAATTTTAAACTTTGCCTTGGTTCTTAATCAGATCAACACAAAAGAGATCTTAAACCCCAGCATTTCCTTGTTTTATGATATGGCTTAGCCTAGTAGATCAGGATGAGGGGTGAAAATAAACAAATGAGGCTCATGAGAGAAAATAGCCACGCCAGGGGGAACCATACACTGATACCCATGGCAGCAGCATGAGGAAGCAGCCTAAAATTAGCAGGAGGGGAGAGCAGTTAGCCACTGGAGCCCTTGCTTCCTTCAGTTAGTGGGGAAGAGATCTACAACTTGGTTTAGGTGGTGGAGTGGAATTCTGTTTAACAGGAGTGAGGGGCAGTCCTCCCTGGTGCCACTGGCCAGGTAAGTGGCACTTACATATCTGTGTTGAAGTCTAAAGGAAGACAAAGCAAGGAAGGCTCTCTGCTCCCTCTGGGGAAAATGTGAAGGTGTTAAACTTATCATGGAAAGTGGGAACCTAGGAAATAAGATGGCAGAGGCATTCCCTTCTTGGATCGCCTCCCTTCACTCAGTGTTAGACTTAAATGGAAAAAACCAGCCCTGAGTAATTCTAGAGGTTGGGGTTTGGAGGCCTTGGCTTTGGCTGAATGCTGGGTGGGAAAGGGAGTATAGAGTCGCCTTAGAGATTGGAGAAAAGTGTCAAGAGGTGTGTATATAAGGTGGTGCAGAGCAAGAAAGACAGTTTAGGAATTAATAAGCTAGAGTCAGAAGGGAATGGCGAGGTGGTTTAGAGGATGGAAAGGGGCCTCCTTAGCAATGTGATGGCAAACCTGGCCACAGTTCTCTCGGTGCTCCCTATGGTAAAGAATTATTTCTGTAATAGATTGTGATTGTGATAGATATGAATTTTTAAGGCATTTCTTATTTTCTGTCATTATTTATTTTTGTCCTTTCCACTTCTTTTGACTCCAGTTTTTGTGTTTTCTACTTTGTTTTGGTTTTAGCTCTCCATAATAGTAATTACCATAAGCCTCTCCTCTTCATGAAACTATATTCGTAAGGTTTAAATCCTCAGAGGTAGACCATCCGAGTTCTGTGGGATATGCGAACATTTTAATGTTAGGTGAAGGAAGTGACTTGTGATGCATACTGTTAAGTAGGAGGAACAGAAGGAAAGTCACATCTTTTAATTTACATGTCTTTATTGATATATCATTAGCTACCCCATCCTGCTTCTTTTTAAGATGAGCCAGAGGCAAAAATAGAAGACTTTGTAATAGTTTGTTGTATTTCATAGCTTAACTCCTCACCAAATGAAACACATCTCAGTTCTTCAGGATGGGAATGCATATGTAGCCTGTTTCCTTGAGATTTCATAGACTTATAGACTTAGAATCCATAGAGTTGGAGAAACTGCAGAGGCTCTCTCTGTTCAGTGATATTGCTAGTACAGAACTACATACAACTAGATACTTAATAAATTTTTTTTCGTGATAGTTATAATTTTACCATGTGGTAATCTTGTATACTTCCTTTTCCCTTTTGACCCTTCATAACTTTGTACCTCTTTTGTCGGAATGATATTTTATATTATGTTATAGTTATTTGATATTGTTTGGATACATTATAGCTTCTTGAAGATAGAGTCCCAAATTTTATACTTTTTTATATCCATAATGTCTAATGTAGTACCTTGCCCATTGTAGGCATCCAATAAATAGTTATTGAATAAGTGAGTTAATGAATGAATGAATGTGGGATGAAAAATTCTAACTTCTAAAGATTGATAAGAACTTTTTAAAAATCTATTACTTCTATAATTGTTAGATAGTTTCTTCCTATCAGGAACTCTCTTATTTAGATAATACCTTACAATCTCTTTTATGGGGATTTTTGGAAAGCAGGAGTCGGTTTAAAGGAAAGGCAATATATATAAACTAATGAGAATTACAGGGTGTTCTAAAAGTTTTAGTGTGGCTTTAAGTGATTAAAGCATAGATTTAAAGCTAGAAGGAACATAGAGGTAATCTAGTACAGCCCCTTCATTTCAAATGACAAAATGGAGTCTCAGATTGTATGACTTGCCCAAGGTCACATCTGTAGTAAGGAGCAGAGCTGAGACATGATCCCAGGTCTTTTGATTCTAAAGGTAGTATTCTTTTCACTATTCCATGATAAGTTGAGAGAGACCCTCTTTCTTCTCAGTGACATCCCAAGTTAGTTGCTGATGGACCATCTTATAAAGGAAGTTGTTTTGATGATGGAGGAACAAAACATTAAGGCATCTAACACAGACCTTTTTTATAACAAATTCTCCTGGAAGAGCCCTCTTAACATATAGTGCTTTAATTTTCCAAAACATTTAAATAATAATAGCTTACAATCATTTAGTACTTTCATGATTGCAAAGTTTTTGAGACCATATTACATATTTGGAAATCAGACTTAACTCAGATTTTTTATTAGAACCTTTCACATAGTAAGTGGTAAAATAGAACAAATTAAACTAGAGAATTTCATTTTAGAGTATTATATTATAATGAAAAGTATAATGAATTTTAAACTA